AGTATATAGAGAGTTCAAAAAGCTTAACACAAAACAAACAAACAAATAACCCAATCAATAAATGGGTGAAGGAACTAAACAGACACTTATTAAAAGAAAAAAGAATGGTCAACAAATATATGGAAAAAATGGTTAACATCTCTAGCAATTAGAGAAATGCAAGTTTAAACTATACTGAGATTCTACTTCACTCTAACCAGAATGGCAATTATCAAGAACACAAATAACAATAAATGTTGGCAAGGATGTGGGGAAGAGGGTAGGCTCATACACTGTTTTGGGGACTTCAAATTAGTGCAACCACTCTGGAAATCAGAGTTTTGAGATTCCTCAAATCTAGCAATGAAACCACCATTTGACCCAGTTATCCCACTCCTTAGTATATGTCCAAAGGAATTTAAACTAGCCCACTACAGTGATACAACAACATCAATATTTTTAGCAGCACAATTCATGATATTTAAGCTCTGGAATCAACCTATATGGCCATCAAGGGATGAATGGATAAAGAAATTGTGATATATAATGCAATATTACTCAGCCACTAAAGAAGAATGACTTTGAGACATTTGCTGGTAAATGGATGGATCTGTAGGCTATCATGCTAAGTGAAATAAGCCAATCTCCAAAAGCAAAGGTCAAATGTTCTCTCTGAGATGTGGATGCGAACTCACAACAGGGGGCAAGGGCAGTAACTAGAAATTCAGTGAATTAGACAAAGGGTAATAAAGGAAAGGGAGGAGGGATAGAAATAGGAAAGACAGTGGAATGAATCTGACATAACTTTCCTATGTCCATGTATGAATATACCACAGTGAATCTCAACATCATGTACATCCACAAGACTGGGATCCTAATTAGAATAAGATATATCCTATGTTTGGACAAATATATCAAATAGATTCTACTGTCATGCATAACTAAAAAGAACTAACAATAATGCTAAAAATAAAAAAGAAAGTTTCAGGTAATAGACATTCCTCTTATATTAAAAGGAAAGTAGAATTCTTTTAATCAAGAATAGGATATTGAAATGGAAGAAAATCTGTACAAATAGACCTTATTAACCTAACTCTTATTGACACAGGGACTGTGACAAAGGCTGGGACCATGCAGTAAACTACTACCCTTTGCAGGCTTCTCTACCTTTGTGCTGTTTTCAACAGACCTCTTACAAGACCCTGATAAAACCACAGAAAGAGCATGTTTGCACAAGATGAAATTGTTACCAAGACAAAACCTAAATAAACTCTCCAGCTTCACTAGTTCATAGTGAACTTAGAAATTACTCATTCTGAAGGTCACACAGCTAGGCAATATATTAGTTCTTTCCCACTAGCTTTGCTGTAGATAGCACCTCTAATGTGTGGGTTAGGATGATAATGGTTGCCTAGGTTACTTTTCAGCGACCTGAAGCCTGCTTTTACTGAAAACAAAGACCCTTTCCTTGGTCCTGCAGATGTCTGATAGGTGAGTGAAATGGGATGGAAAGGCTTGGCATTTCTGTCTTCATATTTTATCTATGCCTTTTACCACCTTAACTTTTGGATCAGATTCTGTTCAGCCCTGCATGCAACGATGATTACCCATTAGAACTGGTCTGTGTGTTCTCTTAGCAGCAATAGCTACCCAAACACCTAAAGTCCTTCAGCCCTATCATAAGGCCCAGATCCAGCCACAAGATCAGTTTGTGTCCACATGATGATGGCACCAGCTGCAAGAGGAACTCAGCAGCTGCTGGGACAAGTTGACCATAACTGTGTAGTGATCTGAGTCCCAGGCAAGAAGAAATATCTTTTACAACTGTACCCTTCTCCAGTAAAAAATTACTAGATCCACCTCACCCCAGAAAATAAAAGCTGACACCCCACCTTTGTCTGGGAAGCAGCCTGGTCTCTCAATCAGTGCTGTTTTCCTTCAGTAGAAGTCCCAATTAAAGCTTTGCATTGGGCACATTTGACTTGATTAAATTTCTACTATCACAAAGTTTAAAGCTCCCTTCTCTGGCATCGATATCTTTCTAGTTACTTTTTTCATTTAACTACCCTTGATCAAAGCCCTTATTATATTCAACAGCTCACTATTCTTTGTATAATTCAATATATAAATTATTGACTTTGCTTTTATAGGGTCTTCGTTTCTTTTTGAGGGCTACAGTGTCATGTAAAACTTGAATGAAATACATTTGTATTCTTTTCTCCTTTCAATTTTTCTCAGGTCACTTTAACT